TAACGGGCTTCAGAGCAAGATCGAGGAGATAAAAGTCTTCATGGGAAGGCATGGCATATTGATAGCTGCGGTCCAAGAGACGAAGTTGCACAGCAACCGCTGGGTCTTCCGGCTCTGCTTTAATGCCGGCTATCTCTTCCCACCACCGCTCCAAACCGCGGTTTTCCTCCACCAACAGGGTGAGCGCATTCCCCTCTTCGCTTCCTTAGTCGTCTCGGCCGTCAGTTGCAGCTGTCGCCGCCGCTACCTCGCACATCGCCTGCGCAGGTGGTTTCCGCTAAGATTCGGTGCTCTGTGACGGCCCGTTAAAACTGCGCATCGTCATCGTGATGCGCCGGACATAATCTATGTAACTCTCACTTGGGCGTTGGCAGTCCTCCTCTTCTATGTTCATTTTGCCCCTGTGTTGCTCGTCATAGCTGTCATCAGACACCTCGATCGACGTGTGCGTTCTTACCACCTCGCCTAGATGCCACTTGTAGTCGTTGTCGTTGCTATCGCTGCATACTTCTGCTTGCGTAAATGTGTCGCTACCCGCCTCGCTGCTTGCTGCTGAACTCCTAACCATAAACACGTCTTGGTCACCACACTTAGGGCTCCAATTCGCTTTTTCGCTCGCACCGCTGTTAGCGCCTCCAGGCAAGTATAGCTCTGTGCTTGCCTCACTTGCGCTGTCTTCGCCACCTTCTCCGCTACCAACGCCAGTATGCTTCCTGATTTCTGCCGCAGTCAGGCGTCGCAAACGCACTTTCAAAGTGTCGTCCGTTACGCCCATCGCCTTGAAAATTTCGCCAGTTGGTAGTCTTTCCATCGCTGCAGTCAGTTTTTGAGTAGCGATGTCATTTTATATTGTACCTTCCTAAAACATTTGCCATTGCGCGGCTACCTACAATTTTCCATCTTTTTAGCATTTTGTTATTATCTGGCTTAAGTTATTTTAGTTTGTTATTGTTTTCTTCAGCTGTTATGTTGCAATTGTGCCCACTCTCCCAAAAGGGGAACTTTTGCAGGGGTCGATATGTCAATATCGGAATAGTGTTGCCAGCTTTGGGAAAATAATATCTCCGTTTTATTTCTTTACGATATTATTTGTTATTATTATTATTGTATTTATTATTATATTCGATATTGGTATATTCAATATTGGTATATTATTTCTGTATTATTCTTTCTTTTAAACTCAATTCAATATTTATATATATATATATATTTTTTTTTTCCTATAGTATTCTCGTGCTACAACCTCGTTCGTCTTCTTCTTCTTCTCATTATCCTTTCTTCTAAACTCCTTCTTCTTCTTTACTTACTTTAAACTCCTTTCTTTTAAACTCCTTCCCTCTTTTCACCATTAGCATGACTTATCTCCCTTTTTTCATAGTATTCTCTTCTTCCCTCTTTTCATTGCATCTATACCTCACAACCTACTCTCTCCTTAGGGTCTCCTATTCATGGCAATCGCTCCCCTATTTGGCAATCGCCGAGTTATCACATTTCTGTCAATGACCGAAATTTATCATTTCTTCGCCCCGAATTAGGCTCAGGTGCATGTCGGGGGAGGATTTTTGGTGTCTCTGCCGCGTCGGCCTCTTCTTCACCGTAAATGGCTTCAGCTCACTCAGATGTGCTGTTCTCCTCTTACCGTTGTGTACCTTGTCTAATTCGACGATTACTGGCGAAACGAATTTCATTACCCGGTACGGCCCAGCATACTTCGGTGCAAGTTTACCTTCACCAGCATTCGGTCACCTACCACTGGTCGCCATTTCCTCCTGCGCAAGTTGCAATGACGCGCTTGCTCGATCGACGCTGTCTGTTGATTTCGCCTTACCATCTCGTTGCCTTCGCCTCTGGTGTCGTCGTCGTTTGGCCTGTACCGAAAGTTTGTACTTCGTAGAGGGCTTTTGGTACTCGCGGCTCGCGTCCTTGCACTTAGAAGGCAGGACTGTAGCCGGTGGTTTCGCAAGCATTGGTATTAAGCGCCAGTGCCATTTCGGGTAGTAAGTCGTCCCAATTTCGCTGTTCTTTTCCGGTAAACTGTGCAAGCATTCCCTTTATGTTGAGGTTTGCTCTCCCCGTCGGATTTTCTTGTGGCGTGTATGGTGCGGTGAGGTGATGCTTAACCCCGTACTCTCGTAGTAGCCGTTTGAACTCTCTGCTGGTGAACTGTGTTCCATTGTCAGTTATTATAATTTTCGGGACTCCATTATAGCGAGTACGCGTTCTCGAAACGCCTTGTTGAGGCCTTCAGCTGTCGCCTTCCGAAGAGGCACAATTTCCACTCATTTGGAGAACTTGTCGATGAAGACTAGTACGGTTGTGTTTCCGTGCTTTGATCGTGGCAATGGTCCCACAAAGTCTGCGCATACTGTGGCCCAAGGTTCTTCTGCGATCTGGGTCAGCATCTTTCCCCCTGCTTTCTGTTGGCTGGGCTTATATATCTGGCAGGTAGTACTAACAGAATTCGGCAGAGCTTAACGCAGAATAAAATAAAATTATGCACAAATAAAAAGAAAAAACGCAAAAGGTTTTGACTTTAAGTATTCGCTTCTTCGGAATAATCGCTTTAATAGTATTTAACTATAAACAGTTAGCTTAGAGTGGAAAATTGACGTTTTATACCAAAGAAAAAGAGTTACCACCTTAACATGATTTTTTTGAGACAATGTTAACACTCAACACTCCAAAACAAAATATGAAATTAAATGAACAAAACTTATAGTATAAATTGAAATTCAAAATGTCAATTCCATTAAGTCACACAAATATTTATGACGATTCTTGTCCAAAGATTTCGTGAATATGTCCGCAACCTGTACATCGGTGTTCACATACTCTAATTTGAATTGACCATCCTGGAATTTCTCTCTGATGAAATGGTA